GAATCAAAACACCACAAATCGCGGCTCGTTCGCATCCCAAAGATACACAAAACTGAAGCGAGGGGTGGGATGTCCGTGGAGGGGCAGGGCATCAGGTGGCATCGAATCCGATGTTTATTTGTTTGATTCAAGTGTAAAATTGGTGGACTGATAGCGGGAGTGGCCCTCGTTGACAGGTGAAATGGTGGGCTGATATTGAACTTAATGTTGCCATTTTTACCCACTGCAAATCTTTATTACAAATGTACTTAATAGTGATCTATTTTTGGTTAAATTCATATTTATTTATAAGTATTAATACAGGTAAAATATTACAGTCCTAGCTATCAATGTCAATAATTAAAGTCGTAATTGAAGTCAAATGGCAACTTATTTGTTTGCTTAATCAAAAATCAGAAAAGGGCTTTATACATATACAAAAAATAAACAAAAACTTATATGAAAAATCAGAAAGTGTAACAAGCCCTAATGTAAGTGGGTTTAGTCTTTCATATTATGGAGTATCTGTGCACAATTTTTTAAAATAGGTTTCATAATTATTGGCCAAAGTCTTAATTACCTGTAGTCTGCTGAAATCTTCCATCTTGAAGAAATTTGCATCTATCCATGATCGCTAGCGTTGACCTCCTGCGTTTGGCCAATAAATTGTGCATCGTAAAAATTATTATTTATAATCGGAAAATGTGTTGTATCTGGATCCATTAATTGGCAGTGCTCCTCGCCTCACATCCCTGCCTCACTTGGGATAGGATATTTGCTTGGCCTATTGTCAGAGGCGATGACGATGGCAGTTTAGCTGAGACTTTCCATGCACGAAATGTGCGAAAAAAATAAATTCTGTTGTTTTATTTATGTTTACAAACTGATTTATTCCACAGCTCCGGCTTCGTGCTCGTTTCATGCCTCAAATTTATTTTGACAGAGACAGACAACACGGTGGAGATTGCGGTTGTGTATCAGCATATGTATCAGCACATGAATCCGCTTCAAATCGGGAGTTTCTTGCCCTTGGATAGAATTGCAAATTGAGTTTTACAGAGAAAAGAATGTTTATCCAGCAACTCGAATCGGTGGCTAATGCGTTCTCAAATTGGTTAACAATAGATTCCGGCTAACTTCCATATTTATCTGTTGGCATCTGCGGCCGGCAAGTCGAGAATCGTAATCAACTTTCTTTTGGCCAAACTATAACAATGGAAAAGTGCTTTCCCCTGATTCAGCTGGGCACCCAAACCACCTCCCCCGAGTGCCATTAAAAGAGTTAACCATCATAAAGTCGGCGACCAGGAGAGTTCCGTGCCGGGTGCCAGGCAACACAGCACAACACAATGGACAATGAGCACATAAATCAGTGTAATTAATAGAAAACTAGCCAAAAGCCGAGGCGATCCGTTCATCGATCCCCACGCATGAGCTGGCATTCGACCACGTGTGTGCTAGGTCCGTTTTGGTCACTCGGAATTGGAATACCAAATTGCCAAATCCCTCAAGCTCATTAGGAGCCCGAGATCGAGATCGAGAGACCAGACTACTAAACTACGCAACGAGGGGAAACTCTATTTATCAATATTTATGCCCCCTATTTCCCCTGGAGTCTGTTCAGTGTAAACATTTTCCGATGCCAGCGCTTTCTCATTACGCGTTCTCGATTGGGTTTGCGCCCATTTATCTCACAGTTTGAGGCAAACGCATAAATCTCTCATCTCTCAGCGCAATGCGATATTTCAGTTCCGAATTAAAATAAATATTTAAAGGGGTATTTTTAACAAAATTCAATTTATTATCAATAAGCAACAATTTTTAGCCTGGACTTTGCCCGGGAACATCAATCAACGGGCCACAGCCACTGGTCGTCTCCAAGGAACTAATTCATTCATTTGCCAAGCTCCAAATCACTGGCCATTCATTTGCCAAATGTCCGGCTGGAGAACGGACCCCAAATGGATCAAAAGCCCCGGAAAGGGGTGACCTGGAGTGGGAAAAGTCGTAAAAAAGAGTCACCTGCAATAAGTCAGAGGCGAACTCAAGCAGTTTGATGGCTGGCTGCTGCCTTGTCCTTCAAATTACAGCCTGATTAGACTCGTGGGACATCCGCCCAGTCCAAAGCCATTCCCATCTGTTGTGGCTGACTATGAGATACATTTTGTGTGGGGGGGAGGGGAGGGGAGGGGTCGACGGGTCCCAGATTGATGAGCTCTGCGGCTTCCTCTAAATAGCACAACCTGAGAAGCGAAAGTGATAAATATCTGGCTGGGCATAAGTCCACAGTGATTTTACCTAAATGGAAATAGGGATATCTAAATGGAGGCAAATCATGTTATAGTCTGACGAGCTTGACGACAAACATTCTCCAAGTATTTAGATGTTAATTAACATCTTCGATCCATCAGAATTACGAAGCACATTAATTAAAAACAAATTATTTTCGAAGCTTATAAAAAGTGATTACTAAATATAATCATATTTGTTTTTAGTGGAAAAGACATTCTTTTTTTAAGCTCTTTAAGGGGGTATAGTTAATTCGATGCAAAATCGGTCATTTTTGAAGGCGATACGGAAAGTCTCAGCTCAATTTTGGTTTTTGCATGTTATAGGGCAACATTTAAACAACATGTGTGAATTTGTTCATCCAAAAATATTAAAAATTGAGTGAGAAGAAAACACGTTTTGGGGTGTACACGATAACTAGTCACAGAATCATTTGATATGAAAATTTGTTAAAAGATAAGATTCCTCAGGTAATGCTGTCGAGATTTATTTTTTTATTTTTTTTTTTTCGATTTTTTAAGGTCAAAACCCATATTTTTGCCCAAACCGTCGAGATATTTGTTGCTCTAAAAATAATAAATTAAAAAAAAAGAAAAAAAATTACCTGAGGAATTTAGTAGAGAAATACTGTACAAAATCTCAAAACGATCCATCCGTTAGATTTTGCAGGATCGTGTACACCGACTTTGAAAAGGGTAACTTTTCAGGAGAGAGTTTTTAAGTTTTGGACACCGAAAAGTTGAATACAAAAAGTTAGCTCAACTTACCTACGGTCAACTGCCCATAACTTCGGATCAATCTAAAATTTTAACACAATATTCTCAAGAATATTATTATTGTGCATTCAGAAAAAAAAATACAAAAAAATGCAAAATAAAAAATTTAAATACTTTACCCCCCCTTAAAGGAAATAAAAACAGTTTTTTTATTTGTTAGGTTAAAAAACTTAAATATATTTAAATCCAGACGGGATTACCTTTTTTAAATTTTCATTGGGGCTAAATACTGCTCAGCTAAGAAACATAAATTGGGCTTGGCCAGAGATCGTGCGACAGAAGTCTAAAACTTATTGACAAGGGCCAGGGCATAAATTATGGCCTCGGCAGAGCGTTAATCGCACATTTAACTCGCAGGAATTGGACTGCAACCCGGGTAGCTTAAACGTTTGGCAAATCGCTGACTGGGAGCAAAAGCGACTGGGGACTCGCAGAAGAGCAACAACTTTGTTCCAGCGATAACAATCGTGAATGCAGGAGCAGCAGGAGCAGTCCCATCGTTCCCGATTCTCCAGGGAATCGGCGAGGGAGCGAGTCGGAGAACGCAGTGAGAGATGCAACGGGCCAGAACATAGTCAGCAACACAAATAATTCGCTTTAATGAGATCGCAATCTTGGCGATTTGCGACAAAAACACACGCGGTTCCATCTCCATAAACTCGGATACAGATGCAGATACAGATACAGATACAGATTCAGGACTGCGCAACGGTGTGTGTGTGTGTGTTGTGCGTGCGTGTGATCACTGCAGAGATGAAGATGAGCCAAAGTCGAGAATCTCGATCTCGATCGAGCCACAAATCCCCAATGACGATCATCGAGTCCAGCATCCAATCGATGCAACAACGTGGAACGATTACAGGCTACCAGTATACACTGCAAATAAATATAAATCTTGAGAAGAACAAGATCCCTAAATTGGTTCGAAACGTAATTTTAAATTATCTAAATCAAATTATACAAACTATGACTTTGAATAAATCCAGTAGTCGGTCTTGATCTCAATCAGCACTCAGCAATCGAAGGGATTGGCATTAGTTAAAACCTGTTGGGAATTATAAAATCTCAGAAAGCCGTGGACTTTGTTTTTCTTTTCAAAGTATCGCTATTCCAACATTTTCTTAAAAGCCAGATTCGGATTCAATATAGCGAAATCTAATTTTAATAATATGTATTTTCGTGGTAGGAAAGGGAATTCCTCGATTTCTTCTCAGTGCACTCCTTGTTACTGCTGCTGTTGCGCTCATGTTGGCTGTCAGCGCTCTTGATTGTTGCCCCGGTCCTCGCTCCCCTCCGCCCTTCTGGCTTTCTTATTCTGCGGCTGTGTGTAGGCCCGGCTTGTTGACATGCTCAGCATGCTTAGGCTTACGGCCAGTCCACCAATACGAGGTCAGAGAAACGTCCCAGGGATGTCAATATGTCGTGGAAGGGGCTCCGGCCTCCCTTTTGGTCAGAAACGACGCGACCACGACACATTGCACTGGAATTTCAATAGTTTAATGTAGACCTCCGGTCCACTAGACTTACCCTAGTCAGCCAGGCACCTCACGACATTCCACAGGCTTTCATCAATTCACAGCTGAAAGTTTGGCTCATCACGTGCCATGCCACGAACATTTTTTTTGGACAATTAATTGCTGCAATTAGAGCGACATGGCGCTGATTAAAGTCGGCGAGGAAAAGAAAAGAGACCCCCAAAATGAAAGTTGGTCCTAACTGCATGTGAGATGATGAATGTTCCACAATCCTGAAAAATCTAAATCTTTTAAGCAAAAAATTGTCGCTTAAAGTTAACCGAAAAAAATTACACGACTTTAATAGTTTCAATTAGATTTACGACAAGATAATTAAAAACAAATTATTAAAACTGTTTAACAAATAGATTAAATTATTGATATATTTCTTTAAAAGTTGGCCTTCAAAATAATGTCATTTTGACAGAACATCAATTTGAATTTCGTTAAACTTCCTTCGTCTTTTTTTTCGAAAACAAATGCTGAAATTATTTTTCAAATTAAGTGCAAATAGGCGCAGCCATCAGACCATAAAAAAGACCCTACTCTCGCAACCTTTGGATCACTTGACCATGTCCCGACCGAATGCTTCGGTCAATCGTCCCACGGACCTGAGTCGTCCGTCAGTCGAGGAATCGAATGCGAGGATTGTGTACCCAGAAGCACGGAAGGATAATAAAGCCGAGGAAATGATACATGATTACAGAATACGAGACGTTTATCGTTGGCTTGAAGATCCTGATTCGCAAGAAACTCAACGATTTGTGAATGCGCAAAACAACATTAGCCAGCCGTTTCTCGAAAAATGCGAGGAATGGGAGAGTATCAATAATAAATTGACGAAGCTGTGGAATTTCCCGAAGTATGGATGCCCCATGCGTTACGGAAGTTACTATTACTACTTCAAGAACACGGGCCTGCAGAATCAGAGTGTTTTGATGCAGCAGGAGACTTTGGACAGCCCCGAGGTGATTTTCCTGGATGCCAATAGCTTATCCGCGGATGGAACCACGGCATTGAGCCAGAAAACATTCTCCGAAGACGGCGCTTTCATGGCCTATGGACTGAGTGAAAGTGGTTCGGATTGGAATAAAATCCGCATACGTAGAACAAAGGAGCGCACCGATTTTCCTGAGACTCTGGAGAAGGTGAAGTTTTCAAATGTCTCCTGGACGAAGGACAACAAGGGCTTCTTCTATGGTCGGTATTCAGGTCAAGATGGCAAAACTGATGGATCGGAGACAAAGCAGAACGAAAACCAGAAACTATATTACCATCGAGTGGGAGAAAGTCTAGATCTGGATACTTTGGTTGCCGAATTCCCTGAACATCCTTCATGGCGGTTCCAAACCGATGTTTCCGAGTGCGGAAAATATCTGATCTTATCTATAAGTCATACTGTCCGCGATAATATGCTGTACTATGCTGATTTGAAGCCCGACGAGGCTATCACCTCGAAGCTCGAGGTGAAGCCCATTGTTGATAAATTTGAGGCTGACTACGATTACATAACCAACGAAGGATCCAAAATGTACTTTCACACCAACAAAGATGCTCCCAATTACCGCGTGGTGGTGATTGACTTTGAAAATCCCGCTGAGGCGAACTGGTCCACCCTGATACCCGAACACGAAAAGGATGTCCTGGAGTGGGCCAAGTGCGTCAATGGGGACAAGCTAGTGGTGTGCTATAACCGCGATGTGAAGAACATCCTTCAGGCCTGTGAGTTGCACACTGGGAAACTCATTCGACAATTCGGCCTGGATATTGGCGCTATAAACGGGATTTCTGGAAAAAAGAAGTATTCCGAGATCTTCTACAGTTTCTCATCGTTTCTAACGCCAGGAATCATCTATCACTACGACTTTACTAAGCCCGTTGAGAAGCCAAAAGTACTGCGAGAAACGAGCCTCAATCTGGATGGATTTGACCGGGACAACTACAGTGTGGAGCAGGTGTTCTATAAAAGCGCCGATGACACCGAAATACCCATGTTCATTATACAAAGAAAGAGGGATGTTGTGGAGCCCCGACCTTGCCTTCTGTACGGTTATGGCGGGTTTAACCACAGCCTGATGCCATCGTTTGGCATAACTGGTCTAATGTTTATGGACACTTTTGATGGGGTTTTGGCCTTTCCCAACCTGAGAGGAGGCGGGGAGTATGGTGTGGAGTGGCACAACGGAGGCAGGCTGTTCAACAAGCAGAATTGTTTCAATGATTTCCAAGCCGCCGCCGAGTACTTGAGCCAGAACAACTACACCACCAAGGATCGGTTGGCCATACAGGGCGCCTCGAATGGTGGCCTTCTGGTGGCTGCCTGCATCAATCAGCGGCCGGATCTTTTTGGGGCAGCCGTTGCCCAGGTCGGAGTTATGGATATGTTGCGATTCGACAAATTCACCATCGGTCATGCCTGGTGTTCGGACTATGGAAATCCCAACGAGAGGGAGCACTTTGCAAACCTCTTCAAGTACTCGCCGCTGCACAATGTTCATATTCCGCTGAACCCAAATCAGGAGTATCCTTCGACTCTGATCCTGACAGCCGATCACGACGATCGTGTGAGTCCTTTGCACTCTTTCAAGTTTGCAGCCGCTCTCCAGGAAGCCGTGCGACATTCGGAGTACCAACTGAACCCCATTCTACTGAGGGTTTACACGAAGGCAGGTCATGGAGCTGGAAAGCCCACCAGGATGCGCATTAGTGAATCCACCGACATAATCACGTTTCTCAAGAAGACCCTCAATGTCGACTGTGTCAATCTTTGAAGGAAGTTGTCCTAAAATATACAAGATGGGTGTTTCGGATATGAATCGAAATTATTTTTGAAATTATTTTGGACATTTTCCAGTTATTTAAGAAGGATTTGTAGTTGGTCCCTAGTTCACATAAACCGATAACCTAAACACTTTTAAATAAGAGTGCTTGCTAACTATAATTGTGAAATTTTAGTTAGTATATTCCAATCATTAAGACTCCTTGATGTCGTAAATCAAATGTGTAATCAGTTGAATTTAATTAGAAAAAAGGCGCCCAAACAGCGAGGCTGTCATGGCGGAGAAGCCTCCACTCAGAGTACTTTGCGACTGCATAATCGCATGATAGTCGAGCGATTAACGCTCAATACGGTCGCTGAGCATGCGATGAAGGGGGTATGCGAGGTGGGGGGGGAAGGGGGTTCCAGACAGAAGCTGCCAGAGGCGAACAGGCCGCCAGCTTCTGCCCACTGACACTGGGCCGAGAGCTTGGGAGAGTTCTGGTAGTTGTGTAATGTCTGCTGCCAACTTCAGGGTCCCAGCATGGGTCTGCAGAGCCCTCTTCCTCGTCTCGGCCTCCCGGTATCGGGGCAACGCGATCGAAAATGGATTTGTATCAATATCGACTCACTAACATGATTCCAATAAATTAATATGCATACATGGCAGCACACAGACATCGACTGTTGTCTGCTTTTCGGCCGGAGTCCGGGGTCTGAGTCGAAGTCGAAGTCTGAGTCTGAGTCTGGAGTCTGGAGATCTCGATCGACATCGCAACACGATGATGCATGTGCAGTGTCTCTGAGTTGTGATCGTGTTAATGTAAATAATTGCCAGCCAGTCGGACGAAGCCCAGTCGAATGCTCCTATGGCTGTAGTGTGGTATGGTAGATGTAATTAAAATCTCTCCGCTTCTCACTTTCTGCCTGCATTTTGTCCAGCTTGTTCGCCGTTGGCCAAGGGAGATTCGTCTTGACTGATATGGAAGTGCGCGACATACACGCAAGGCTTTTTTCCCCCTCTCAGTTTTCCTTTTCTTCTTATTTTGGGCAGCTTGATGCTGATGCTGACAATTCACGAGTTCGGCTTGGCATCTGGCGAAATTCGACGGAGATTGAGTAAAGAAAAAGCTGTGAGCCATTTCGATTCAGTTAGCAAGCCGTCTAATTGGCATTGTTACTTGCATTAAGCCAAGGGGGAAACATTTCAAGTGGTGGTAACTTTAATTGCAATCAAATTTATCAGCACTTAGCTCCAGAAATCTTAAAAAGTTAGTCGGGTTTTTCCCCAAAATAAGAAACACCGAAAAATTAATATTAAAAGCTATTTAAAACTTAATAAAGCATAAACATAATGATGCCGATTTTTGAGATATTTTTAAATTTTATTTGGAACTTAAGGTTTTGATTATTAAGATACACTATAAACTATCCGTTTTGCCTGATGAAGTTTTGGGTGGAAACTTTTTTTAGTCACTGTATAGTCAGTGTATAGTCAGTTAAACTTGAACATTATTCAAATAAAATTGGATTCAAAAATGAATTCTCAATCCTTTTCGAATAACAAACAAGAAAGGAATAAAACTTCGGCAAGCCGAAGCTTATATACCCTTGCAGTTATTAGATTTCGATTTCTATGCCTATATTACTAAAAATAATGAAGCTATGTCGATTTTGCGCTGCATTTTGCACTTTTTTCTACGGCAGCTATATGATATTGTTTCCCGATTTCGACAAAACTAAAAACGTAGTTCTGCTATAGTAAATAATTACTATATCCCAAAGGAATATTTTGATAAATAGAAAAACAGCAAAGTATATTTTTTTTCTTTTTTTTTAATATTCATATGAGAGTATAAAAATATTACCAAATCCAAAGATAACATTAAAACTGAGCGACTAGTTTGTGTAGAAACGGACGGACGGACAAACAGACGGACAAACGGACATGGCTAGATCGACTCTTCTGCTGATCAATAATAAATATTCTTTATAGGGTCGGGAATGTCTCCTTCACTGCGTTCCAAAGTTTTGACTGAAATTATAATACCCTCTGCAAGGGTATGAAAAAGGCCCAATACCTGGCTGTCGATTGTCTGCCGCAAAATGTGCTCAACTTTGGATGCATATTGGTGCACGTGACCCACACTAAAAGAAAAATAACAAGGGACTGGGTTTTGGGCTTAGGTTGGGTTGCCGTCGCCTACTTCACTTACTCGTATGTCAAGATGGCCAAAAGGCTGCGAGACGAGGCCCTTGTATCGAAACATTCTACTGTCCACGGCTTATTTATGGCCTCAGATGCTAAAGATATAGCGCCAGTCGAGAACGAAGACGAGAGGCCGAATAACCAAGCGACTTTGCGTGGATTATTTTAAAACAGATATCGGCGAGCGATGGTGACGGCAGTTCACAGGAACAGCCACACAGTAATAGCCACTGTACGAAAAGGCTTTTGCCTAAAGTAAAATGACGAAGATTTCCTTAAAATGTTGTGCTTAATATTATATATAAACCATTGAATTTGCGTTCAAGAATCACGCTTATTTTATATATCGCAATTTTAACATTCGCTAAAGAACAAATATATAACTAGATATTGGTTTAGGTACACTGATTTATAGTTAATAGCCAATATTGAATAAAAAAGTATATTAAAATAATATTTTAAAAATGAAACATATAAATTATCTATTTAGTTTTTTTTCGATTTCATAACGAAATATTTTTCCCAGTGCTTAATGGAATGAAACTGAAACCGTAGCTGAAAGCTTCCATTTTCCATATCGATGCATTGTTGATTAGTCCCAGCGATGTTGCAGCAGGAATATCTGGGTTGCATTTCACCTTGTTGCAACACAGTCACGCACCAACTTTGTTTCCACGGCAATCCCCGTTCCCGATCCAATATCCCAGCCGAGATCAGTAGAGTTGTCAATCAGAGTTACCGATCCGCAGACGAAGCCCCTTCAATCTTGTCCGTTTCGCCAAAGTCGCCATGTCATTATTTGTGGGAACCAATCCAGAGGAGAATTCTTGTGTCTCGTGGTCTGCGAAAAATCGAAAATCATTACTTGAAATACATGCTCAAGTAAAAGCGAGTCGCAGCAATCAATCAATCACGGCCACAAATCAAACATGTCAAACCGAACTCGACTCGAATCGAGTCTTGAGTGGCTGTGGAATCGAGTTCAGCTCGCACAATGGCGCACATATATGACAGATCATCGGCATTCGGATCGATACATTGTCGAGCCCATCGTTATATGTACACCTCTCGAGAGGGTTTCGCTTGGCTCGGTTTCGTTTTTTCCCTCATTTATATTTTATTATATTCATGGGTTTCTTCGATCATAATGTGTCTCGAGTGCACGAATAGCTAAGTACACGAATAAAGGTTAATGAGCTTTTTCTTTCTCTCGCCTTTGTTTCAACTCTTTGATTGTCAAAGTAAAATGTGATTCAATTTTTTAATATTAACGAGTTGGGTCCAAAGAATGTACATATAATGTTTAGGTATACCTACTATTTTTATACCCTTGCAGAGGGTATTATAATTTTGGTCAAAAGTGTGCAACGCAGTGAAGGAGACATCTCCGACCCTATAAAGTATATATATTCTTGATCAGGATCACCTCCTGAGTTGATATAGCCATGTCCGTCTGTCCGTCTGTCCGTCTGTCTGTTTCTACGCAAACTAGTCTCTCAGTTTTAAAGCTATCGAGTTGAAACTTTGCACACAGCCTTCTTTCCTTTGCACGCAGTATATAAGTCGGAACGGCCGGGATCGGCCGACTATATCCTATAGCTGCCATATAACTGATTGATCGGAAATGCCATAACTTTGGTGTTTGTAAGGTTAGGAAGTTGGAATTTTCTATGGGCTTTATATTTGGCCAATCAATCCGACCTACCAAATTTCATAAGGATCGGCCGACTATATCTTATAGCTGCCATATAACTGATTGATCTGAAATGCCATAACTTTGGTGTTTGTAAAGTTAGGATGTTGGGATTTTCTATCGGTTTTATATTTGGTCAATCAATCCGACCTACCAAATTTCATAAGGATCGGCCGACTATATCCTATAGCCGCCATATAACTGATTGATCTGAAATGCCATAACTTTGGTGTTTGTTAAGTTAGGAAGTTGGGATTTTCTATGGGTTTTATTTTTGGCCAATCAATCCGACCTACCAAAGTTCATAAGGATCGGCCGACTATATCTTATAGCTGCCATATAACTGAACGATTGGAAATGCTATAACTTTGGTGTTTTTAAAGTTAGGATGTTGGGATTTTTTATGAGTATTAAGAATGCATCATATGAATAATTTTGGAGAATATAATTTACAGAGTATTCTGCAAGGGTATATCAACTTCGGCTCCGCCCGAAGTTAGCTTGCCTTTCTTGTTCATTATTTTTTCGATTATTCATAAAATTATAAAAATACATTTATTTGTGTCCTAATAATTATAAAAAAAAATTTGTTTTATTTAAAATGCAAGTACATTTATAAAATGTTAGCTAAACGTTTCTATTGAAACTGAATTTTTGTTTTTATCAAAATAAATAAGCAAAACATTATATATATATTTTTAATACTCTTGAAGTACTTTTTAAATTACAAATTAGGAAATAATTTTATTAATGAATTGATAAACATTTTCCTTTTAAATTTCAATTTGAAAATTGGAACCATGGTTTTCCCACTGCAACCCATTCGCGTTGATCTTTCACACCTTGCCGCATAATCTTTCAATATTTTCGTTACCCCTTCACTGCCGCACTCCGCCCCGCTGATCCTGTGGTCTAGGGATCTCCTCGTGGAGCGCTTCTATGTTTGTGTTGTGCAATTAAATTCGTATTCTCTTACAATTGAGGCGCTCAAGTGGAATTTCCACGAATATCATGGATATGGATACGCTGACAAGCAGATTGAGATGCAGATGCCGATGTTGGAGTTGGAGTTGAGGTTGAGGTTGCCTCGATTTGAGGCAGCTGCAATCTTGGCCGGGAGTGTTCTCTGCGGTTCTAGCCCGATTGTTGTTATAGGCCCTTGGTACTTGGGCCCAGTGCGTGTGTTTATACTGCTGTTGCCAGTTCCCCTCTGAAATTATCAATGGGGAGGCTGCGGGGTCTCAAGCACCGCGCATATC